AAAATGAGAACAACTTACAAATAAAGCGTTAGAAACATATGTAGACGAAAATAGCATAGCGGTTAAGTTGGAATTATTAGCGCGTATAAGTTGCAGCTCTCGGTTTAGGTCGGAAGGGCTACCGTACTTGTTTTTATTTATACTAAAATTAATCTAGTAACAATACAAGCCTCGCATGCACGCCAGATGAGATGCAGCTGGGTAATTAGGGTTGATTTTGGCACCCCATATCGAGGAATCTCTTGAACACATAGAATTTTTCGTCGAACATAAAACGCGTTATACTGCCTCTGTGGGTCTGAGCGCTTTGGTCGGCTGTGACGAAATATAACGTTTCTGTTCGTAAAGGGCTACATCGTAGACTCCCCTAAGATCATCGACAAAGATTTCCGTAATAATTACGTGTCTTTACCTTTAACTCTTCCGAGGCAGACGCTTTTTGGAGTACGCTCGCTTATTTCGCTGCAAAAACATACCCGAAAAAAAAAAAAAAATCCGCGCCACTGCGTTTTGTTATTTACTAGTTTTCTTCACTTATATAACGAAGTCGGGTATTTCTCAAGTATGAAATGCAAACAAGACATTTACGAACAGCGACGTTGCGAAGGCCACGACCTCGTTGTGAAACTGACGACATCCTCCGCCTTATCGCATCATGAGTCCTCGTTGCGGGAGGTACGGCGGTCGACCTTTGAGCTCCTGCGCTGTCTGGCTTCGTGTTCGCCCCCCTCCCCCTCCCCCCCCCCCCCCCTCCCTTGATTTTCGGCGCTGTTTCGCGCTTTGGTGTCATCTACGCCTTTGCACTTGACTAAAACCACAGGGATTTCCGGCATTGCTGTAATCTGCCGGCCTTTTTGGTTGGCGTCCACGTGTTGACGCATTGACAAGCGGCGCGTCTTTTCGCAACAAGCAAGTTTTTGGTACTTTGTTCGTGCGTCATGAATCGTTCTAAAGCTCTATAGTACAGCTGACATAGATTGATCTCCCCCTCCCCCCTCCCCCCCCCCCCCCACACACACATATACATAATTTCAAAAATCACAATACAAACACGCATACATGACCATGTAGAGATAATACTTAGGAAAACGTCACGGTACCGATATAAGAAAAAAAAATGTTCCCACTCAAAACAAAATAAAGCCATAAAAGTTGTTTTTTCCCGGCAATCTTGGGTTTTCCTTATTCAGGGAGCTCCTATTCGGGGTTTTTCGCTTTTCCCCCATTATGATAAAACCAGACCGGGGGTTCATTTTCGCGGTTTATCGATTCTTACCGAAAACTCGGAAGACTACAAGCTATGACTTTTGAGTAAAGTTAGTTCTAAAACTTTTGGCATTTGGTCCGGACAGCTAGCGCTGCGTTTGGGCAAAGACTGAACGTTCGGCGACGCGTTATTTATCTTTGCGGGGAAGAAGAAAAAGAAAAAATTATTTCTTGAACATAATGGTAGGGCGCAAACGAGCTAGGGATGATCAGTATTTCAGTATTTCTTTTCGGAGACAAGATGTATATACACGGCGCGCAGAGAAGTATGTGTCGGCACCCCCGACATAACCAAAAGCTATAAAAATTAGTTTATTGTTTTGTGAGTCTGTCGACCACAACAGTTTACTCTAGCGATCATTCCGTTTCCATGTATAGTTCACTGGACACGTTGCAAAGTGCTCCATGCTACGGATATAAATTTGACTTGCAACCAACGCACGCTATGTAGTGTATACAACGCTGTCAAAGCTGCTGGAACGAGCGTGAGGCATGATTTAGCAACCCACTTGCTCGCTCTCTCCAGGTCAAGTTACATGCTCGCTCGCGCCAGCAGCTTTCACAAGGTTCAGTTAAGCATAAACGAAGAAAATAATCCCTGAAGGGGAACAAGGCGGAAAAGGAAACAGCTAGGTAACCGGTGGGCGACTGAAAAAAATCCGCCTGGTCCTGGTATCGAACCAGGGACTTCTCCATTTCCAGTGTGGAGCGCTCTACCGACTCAGCTAACCAGGAGTTAGGTGTCAGCATAGAGCAAAGGGGTTTTATCAGCTGCCACCAGTCTAACACCAACAAGGGTGAACGGCCTGCACTGTTTTAAGGTGTGATGATAGTGCAATGCTCTTGTTTTTCTTTTTACTTAAAGAAACGTGCATACAATATTCGCTTGGAAAGTTTTTCATTTTACACGAGCTTACTGACACTAGTGGGGCCCAAGGATACTCGAACGCAATGCCACTGACCAAAAAACCCTTTTGGTGCGGTGTAATTTCAAGAACAAAAGAGAGCGTTTTCTTTCAATCTCTCCTTCACAAAATCTGATGACGTGGCTTACGTAGATGACATAGTGGCATTTGAATGCGGCTGACAGATTTGACCCGAACATTGCGTGAGCACTCAATGTGAGCTCGTGATAATCAATGGGGCCCGGTATTCACTGAGCGCCATATTTGAGGGCGCTGTTTAGAGCGCATGCTCAAAATGAGCTCACATTAATTGGCTGTAACACTCCGTTTCACCTTAAGTCGTACCGCAGCGAACGCTAGAAGCGTGAGCTCATAGCGTTGGCAGCTGCCCTTAAAGGAGCTGCGCAACGATTTTAATGTTGAAAGAATTGGCATCTTCTACTTTTGACATTGTTCATCTTGTCACAAAGGACAGAAAACACACCTCTTTCGAAATGTTGCGATTCCGCCGCGTAATCGCGAGGCAAAAATTATAATATTTCTCGGTCTGCAACCACAAGCGCCGGCCATGAAAAACACGCGGCGTGACGTCAATGGGGGTCTTGTAGAAAGATAGCAAGTTGTGCAAATACCTGCTCGATAAAAGGTAACTTTTCTATAAATCTTGTTGTTCCAACATAAATATAAATGCGTCAAAAACCTGGTATCATTGACAAAACTTTTATTATACGGAGTTTTAGTGGCGCCATCTATCCTAGGTCCACAAAACCGTCAGCTCTATCTGCTACCGCGAACAGCTGCCAGAGGCCGGAGGGGGAGGGGGACAGAGCCGGACGGGTATGGCCCGACCCGGATGAGACTTTCCTCCTTTCACCATATTGTTCGCGCTGCGGCCGCCAGCACGTGGTCACGCGGTCGCGAGCGGATGGGTTCTCGCTGCACACTGATAGCTCTTGAGAGAGAGCTCCACCCGAACCCCGCGCCACCCCCATTGACGTCACAGCACACGTGACTCAGAAAACGGTGAAGGAGTTGAGAGGTGCCGAAAACCTCAATCTTTGTCCATTTTTAAATAAAAACTAGGGCATGCAGGCAAAAGCGGTTTTTTGTTCTTTACTTCAGAAAGGTCGAGACACCAACTCCCGAATTTAAGTAAAGCACTAAAACTGTTTGTTACACAGCTCCTTTAATGCACGAGAACTTGTGCCACCGATATGTGCCCCGGAGCAAGGAGCTTGCGCTTGTAGCCTTTCCTGCGGTATATCATAAGCTGAAATAGAACATAATATCCGCAACCTTGATGGTGCAAAGTGCACTTTGCAAAAGAACTGCGGAAGCTCGGAATCAGCACGCACTCAGCGTTCGCGCACACAGCTATGGCCGCCAGTGAATACTCCCTATTCGCGGTAAGAAGCCCGCTAGGGGCGCTTCTGTTTACCTCATTATGGGCAGTGCATGTGCCACCCACGTGGGTATGTTTTATTATTTATTGTGCAGAGGAGCTTGGCATCGCACATGCTTGCACCAGTAGAGGAATTTGAAGTATCCTCACTATGGGTTGTGACAAAATTCCACCAGGCGGCGCTACCCAAACTTCTCGCCGCGAATAGCTCGACAAGCATTTGTGTAGTGGCCCGTGTCATTGCCCATGTCCAGTCGCTGCAAATATGCCAATAGCCGAACCATAACAATGCTTAGAACTCAGCACGTGTCCTGAGCTTTGCCAACCCCAGTGCGTGATTATGATCAACATTGGCGGCATATAAGCGGCTCCAGATCACGTGGCCGCTTGTTCTGGCTGCCAGTTGAGGGGTGAACGCTGCTCCTTCTTCTTTAATTTTTTCTGCGACTTCGATTGCGTGTGGTTAAAAACAAACGCTTGTTTTGTAGGTCAATAACGTCGGGGATTCATTTTAAGCGCTATTTGCGCAAAATACAAAAATCGTCGCATCGTCCCTTTTTGTTTATTTATTTTTTATTTATTTATTTATACTGTTAGCCCGAAGGCCGATACAGGGTGGTACAAAATAAAATCAAATGTGGCCGATGTCCTGGCCACTGCACACGCCCGTATACAAAAACACAGGCGTACATACAAAAACACACAGGCATAATATGTAACAAAATGATAAACGACAGTATATTATGACAAACTACCACTGGAGGACGCAAGATAAGCTACCATTTCGTCGTTTACCCCAGTCTCAGGGTAAACGACGAAATGGTTGACTTCCACCAGCTAGCCTGTACTTTGACTCTTTTCTCGTTAAGATAAGCGAGTACGTTATTTTCAAAGCTATTCAATGAGTCCAAGTTCAGGTATGCTTTACAATGTCTGCCTCGCGTGGGAACGCTTTTGTTTCTCTTGGGTGTACAACAAAGAAAATGTGCTAAATAGTGTACAGATTCCATGTCCTTTCTTTAATAATGTAGGGCTTTCAACCTTTGTCAGGAGGCTCGAGCAATTAAATACCGAATAAAAAAGAAACGGGCAGGGCTTTTCATGATAGATCTGTGTATTACTATACTTCTGTATGATCCGCTTTTCCCATACAAGTTTACCTCAGTCCTAGTTTTCGATTCTAAACTTATATCTGCCATTCACGAAGCGTGGCAACATTTCTGAGTGAAACTCTGCAACGATGGCTTCTAAAAAAAAAAAGATAAGAATAAAAAGAACAAAGATTTGTCATTGTAGTTGTCTAACGTTGCAGACATTCCCAGTGCAACAAGAATCAACAATTTCGGGGGTTGAACCCTTTAAATTGCAGAAAACTTATGTCCGCGGTTTACCTCTCAGCTTTTCCAACAAGAGACTGGTGTTTGCAGCTGACGCTGGCGCTGCTGCTGGTCGTGTGCTCGTTGGACCTGAAGGCGGAAATCCTCAAGGGCTACCCGTGCATCCGCAGGCTCAACCAGCTCTACTGCCCGACGCCGGGAAACAGCTACCCAAAGTAAGGACTCCGTGCTCGCTGGATGAACACAGATCGAAACCTCGCTTTATACTGGGCAGTTGAGGTAAGAGGGGCCCTGGGATGCCCGTGATTCTTTCAGATCCATTCCTGTGAACTCAAAGTTAGGATTACTATGTGCAGACATTATATTCAGCCGCCTCGTTGGAAGCATACAGAAGGTCGCCATGCGTGGGCAGAAAGATTTTGAGCAATAGACCGATCTCACCAGCTAGTTTTAGTACGCCACCGCCGTCGCCATGCATTGTAAGATCTGTATAGTCTTTCTGCGCGCGCGACAACCCAGCTGGAGGCCTGCGCGAGCAAAGCACGAGACGGCACGAGCTGTCTCGCGCGCGGGCGCCTACCTCTTCTGAACTACAGTTATGGCGGCGTCACGCCTTCGTGGAACGCTTAGTGAGACAGGATTATCGCTTGTATCCTATGTGGTGAAACATGATATCATTTATGTAGCCGATAAGATCCCTGTCCAGCCGCAGGCGCGTACAGTAATCCGATAGAACTTGCGGCGAATTCCTTATCGATTTCTCGAGCCCCTGACATACGGAGTTAGGTCCCATCTAACACCAGCAAGCTTTATGGACGCGAGTGGATTCCAAGAGACGTTTGGAGGCCTAGTGACCGAAACAATAGAGGGTCCCTAACGCCTGATTACACACCGTGATCTCATTAAAGATTTTTTTTTCTTTTTTTTTTTTTTTTTAATTTTGAAGAGTATTTTGATGCGTAGAAACCTTGATACTTTCGCAAATGTTGTTCGTATTTAACATCAAGAATTACTCGTATTAGAATCTTATGTGCGATTAAAGCCGCCGACTTATGTTTCCTCTGCTCCAATGTTGCAACGTCAGGTTGTGGCAAACGCCTTAAAGGGATGCTGAACCGAAATTCGGATTTCCCAAAATAAGGCCGCAGAAGCGTTGAACGGGACACTACGAACTCCAAAACAACACTCGTACATCGATATCTCAAACGGATGTCCGTACTTTTGGAAAAGAAGAGAGCGATCAAGGCGAGGACTGTGACGTCACGATCCTCGTAGAACAGTTGAAATGAGGGGAAGCGGCCCTGCTTCTCTCCCCTTCGCTTCGGTTCATCTGCCTGAGGAAACGAAGCGAAGCGGAGAGGGAGTCAGTCGTAACGTGCAATGTTCTCATCGGCCTTGTCGGCGTGTGTTCAGTCGCGCACTTCTTTTCCAACAGTTTGGCGAACTGTTAGAGATATCGCTGTATGAGAGATGTTTTGGGGTTTTGCCGCGTCCCGCCTATAGCTCTAGCCTTGTTTTTTGAGATCCAAATTTCGGTTCTGCATCCCTTTAAATTTACGACATTTATGGTGTTGATGTTGGGGTCAGTTTGTCGTAAAGTGATAGTATGACCGCTATTGAGCCATGAAATTGTCCTTTATATATTGTACGCATTTGTATGTAAGAGTGATTTTTGTTTGGAATACATTCGTTTCTCTTCCAGTCCATTAGAACGAGCTGTTCCCTGCAAAGCTGCAGCAGAATGTTTAAGGCCGCCCCTCGTTCACGAAATTTTGCATGTGAACAGTCAGCCCTCGTTTTCCAATGCTTAGAGTTGTCTCCTAAAGCTATAACGGAAGTTGAGATCTAGTAAGGCTGGGGTGTAGCTTGCTTAATATACCAGGACAAGAACGCGTAACAAGGAAGTTCTGTGATCTAGTGCGCATTCCTTGTACAACGGGAATCAATTTGAATGATATGTTATATGTTTGCACTGACGTCAATGAGCCCGCTATGGTCCTTTCACTACCAAGCTGATAAGACTGTGTAAGCTGTTCTTGCACTGCGTGATCACACTTTTGCATACTTACGCGCAGAGAGAGAGAGAGAGACAGAGGGGTGTCAGGCAATAAAGATCAGGCGATTGATTGCACCGGCGAGCACGTAGCTTCCACTGCTCTGCCAAGTTAGCGGTAACGAAGTATAACATGAAGTTAAATCATCCACAATGAGGCATCACGCAGCCTACCTCGCGCGAATCCTTGACATTCCCGATTCCCCCTCTGGGTTTTTTTCGAATGGAACCCTCACATGGCAAAGCAGAGTCACTTTTTGAAGTCTAGAGGGGTCCTTCAGCTTCGCCAACATTCGAATTTCAATTAATATCGCTCAAGTCTGAACTTCAGTCATGTCCGAACAAGATTTTCTCTTAAAGCTAGCTATACTCTACTGAGCCGGAGTCCTTCGAGAGACCGTGGATCGACATTTTACAGAGATATTTGTACATAACTATTTTGCAAGCTGCTTACTCGCTTTACCTAAACCCTTTAAATGCTTCAAATAAAAACAACGTCTAAAAATGCAAGTGGAAGAAGAACGAAAGAAGAGAAAAGAAAGACATTTTTTTGTAGACTCGTAGAGACATATCTTTAGATAAACAAGATGGACACACGTCGAAAGTGGTAAATTTACTTATTGACCTCGCCATTTGCGTTGAATACTAATCATATTGCGGTGGTATATGTGGTGGGTTTTGGGGTTTATGTTTGATTGTCATTACCTTTAGCGTTTACTGCCTGTTGTGCGGATATTTTGGGGATTGACTCACTAAGGTGAGTTGATCTTATACATACTTCTACGAATGCTACCAATTTGCTTAAAAATCCCCAAATGATAAAATAAAGTTAAAAATGACCAAAAAACAAGATGACACCAAGAATATCTTGTTAGCCTGGTCGGCAGCTTTCAAACCGTCAAATATAGGGGAATCTTTTCAAATTTAAGGGTATTTTTCTATGACTTGGAAATCATTCGCAAAATTTACTAAACAAAGGAAGTTTACCTTTCCTACCAAGAGTTTCCCTTTTTATAGGAGATGCATTCTTTCTGGCCTATCAACGTACCGGTTCTTGAGCCGATCCACAAAGTAGCGTTCATTACATGAAGCCCGTGGTAGGTTTGGGTCGTGAGCGAGAAAGGCCAAGCGTCTGACTTTTCGAGGGTTCGAACGAATCGCCCACCACAAGCCCTGAGAGCGTGTGTTGTCGTTCCCATTGCCCTTCACCCACAGAGTCAATTGGACAGGCATTGAGGGTGGCGAAAAGTACAAGGGGAAGCGAGTCAAAAGGTAGGTGCTCCTGCAGGCCAAAGCACGCGCACGCCCGTTTCTGGGATTCTGTCTGCATGGCGTGTGGCGCATGCTCCTCTTCACCGACGGGGTTCCTCTCTGCACGCTCACTCAGCCGGATGCACCGTCGAGACACGCAGGGTTCGACAGACGGCCGACTCTTCCCGCAGACGTGATGCAAACTCTTTGTGTCAGTCCATCGACGTACTCCGTCGCCCACCGAGTCTCAGACAGCCGACACTCGATGCGATGAAGCATTTCGTGTAGCGTCAAAAAGTGCATTGTCACGGTGCTTGCTTGTCGTCTTTGTGCGTTTTCTATCACCGGCTAACCCAATCACGGACAGAATATAAAATCGTAGAGCCACGGTGCATTCATCGTGCGTGATTGGTTTAGCCGATCACGATGAAAGCCGATAACGATGAAAAGAGAGCATAAACGAGAACGCGTTCTGCGTTAGACGTTTTGTTCACGCTTTGCGGGAAGAGCCGGCGGACCGTTGATCCACTGTGGCCAGGACCTGGGGATCGAGTGCCGACCAGTTGACCGACACAGTGTCACCTGCGCAGGGAACGGATCGACATGTTCATCGACGAGAACAAGGCGCTGATCCGGCGTATGTTCGGCGAGTACTCGTCACCCGACGACGACAGCGCTCACAGGGATCACTACGAGACATACGACGGCAAGACTATTCATACCAGGACGGAGAGGTCCAGGTCTACATTTTCAGGGGCGTCGTCAAATAAGTACGTGCCTTTCTCCACTTCCGGTGCCCCGGAAATACTCGAAGTAAAGACACGAAAGATGCGCGTCCTAGCACGACAGATCATATGCTTCACCATGATGATCATGAAATGTGAAGTAAGTTTGACTTAACGCCGAAATAATGCCGCGTTTAACCAACCAAGCTTCACAATGTTTGTCCGATTTGGAAGACAGTGACGGCAGGCGTTTACAACTTTACTAGAGCTTGACGAAATCTCCAATGAGAAGCTTGGTATCAAGTTCCGACATAAACGTCTTAGTTTATTTTATGGACATCATCTGATACTGTAGATTGACAAAAATTGTGTCTTTATTAATGGCTGCTGTGTCTGAGTATAGTCATTTTACAATATCCTTCAGGGTGGACGCCTGTGAGTCCGCCGTGGAGATCGTGACGCCGTACTGGGCGTCCAACAGCGCTGGCAAGATCAGAGCCATCGTCAACACGCAGCATCTACAACAGGCCATCCAGCAGGAAGTCTGCCAGTACGTATCCCTCCGCAGCATATGATTGGAAGTGCTCTAAACATATCTCTTCTGGTATTTTTCGCGCAGGTCCGTGCAGACCAAAAAGTGCAACAATGACTGCAGCTGCGAACAGAAGTACAAGTGGCACCGGTTGCTAGCATACGACCCAGACGACGACTGCAAGGGAATCTTCATGGACTGGTTCCTGTTCCCGTCATGCTGCGTGTGCCGCTGCGCCAACCCCATCAAGAAGTGAAGGACTCGTGTAACCACACCGGGAGAGCGCCACCATCGCTCAAAAAGCGGTTCTCTCCGAGCACAGTGACGTCTGGAGTTGGCCTCAGTGCCAGAGGTGAACTCTCTAACGCGCTCAACGAAGAAGGCTGCAGAGAAACGGCCGGGATAGAGATATAAAACGGTGGCCTAATGTGCGTCGAAGTCCGGTGGGACAAGCACTGAGGCTGGAGCCAGCTGGAGTACTCTCAGCTTCAGCGACCAATCCGCGCCCAAGCCCATCACTGCAGGACTCTTCCGAGCCTCCCTTCGTCTTGTCCATCCCGAATCTCGAGCCCCAAAGGAAACTGTGTCGCGTCGAGCGCGTTGTGTCCAGACACACCGAACGGTGAAGACCTGCTTGACGGTAAAAGTGCCGGTGGCGTCATAGCAAGACCCGTTTTCCACGAGTCTCTCCTTGTTTTGGTTCAGCGTCGAAAGATACTAGGCGACGCTGTTTCGGTAGTATTTATGAAAGAGATGCTGTTATATTAAACACACTGAACTGTGCACGTGAGTCTGCGATCGCGGATTGTGCGAGTGAGTGGTGGACAAAGAAGAAGATCGTTAACCGACGGCATGGAACGTAAGTCCCCTTGTGAAAGACTTTGAAGGGACGTCTCGCAGAGATCATCTTGATGAGTTAAAAGTGTGTTTTGTCCAACAAAGATGGTGTACTTCTCTGAAGAAACGTTTTGGGTGCCGCTTGTTCTAAATGTCAAATGCACAGAGTGTTTGACGCGCCAATACAAACAACTTATCTTGCTGCAGAATCCAGGAACCCACTTTATGGTAAGTTCATGGTGCAAAAACCGCTGATGCCTACTGCAACCGGATTTCGACCTTTGTCGCACAGTGTCGTACAATGCGGAAGACCGTAAGTATGCGGCTCTATGCCGATGGATCTAACTATATTTTTAAGGTTAAACTCTGCAGCTCAATTAAAAACGCAGCATATAATAAAATACATAGACTAGCTCAAAGGTGGTCGCCCATGTATTTTATACATGGACGACCACCTCTGAAGCATCTGAACTGGATGTCTCGTACCGTATGTCCACTACTTTAGCGGCGAAAAGGTTTCGCAAAAAAATGCAGTACTCAAACTCTGTACTCCAGAGAGCTATACAATTACTAGACTTGTCATTTTTATGGTGTCTTTTGCACACGCCACTTTGCAGTATTTTCAGATCTAACGTAACATGACGTAATTTTTGAAGGTTTCTATTGGGCAGGAAATCGAACTATTGGCGACGTGAGCGATCGAAAGCGTCGCTGTGGTCGGCCCACCACAATTGGCCGAATGCTGAGTATGACGTCAGGAACGGATGTTTGATCGACGGAAATAAGAGTAATGCAAGAACTTCAATTTTGACGGTGTTGGCAGTGTTGCTTTGAGAGCGCAATGATTTCAGGCTTCCACCATGCCTATTACAAACACCATCGAACTTGTTGTTCACAAGGTAATGACGTCACGAAAGGTAACCAAACGAGGGCGCCACCGAAACATCTCGCCGCTAATAGGGGGAGTTTTATCGGGCTTGTTGTCCCCACAGCCTGGTGTTTACTAACACAGAATAACAAAGGAATTGAACCTCGCCATGCACGGTCTGGACACGAGCGCTTCACTCTTACCAGTGCTTTGGTTGCACGAGGAGCGGCCATTCGAATCGTCACCATCGATATCGCTGATCAAAAACAAACAAGAAATTCGGTTTGTTGTCCCACGGCCGTGGTTGTCCCCACAGCTGAAGCGTGCCGCCAGAGGCATGATTGTTAGATCTCCTTCCCAATAGGGAGTATTCACTGGCGGCCATATCCGTGTGCGCGACTAATGAGCGCGTGCTGATGGCGAGCTTCCACAGTTCTTTTGCAACGTGCATTCCACACCATCAAGATTGCCGCTCTTAGCAACCTCTTAAGGTGAGTTCGTTCTGAGCATGCGCTCTAAACAGCACTCACAAATATGGCGTCCAGTGAATACATTTTATAGGAAGTACTCACTGGCGGTCATATCTGTGTGCGCGAATGCTGAGCGCGTGCTGATGACGAACTTCAACAGTTATTTTGCAACCTGCACCTCGTACCGTCAAGGTTGCCTGTCTTAGTAGCCTATTAATGTGATGGCGTTCTGGGCATGTGCTTTGAACATCGCACTCAAATGTGGCGTCCAGTGAATACCTTCAAACCCTCCGTAGGACAAGGCTGGTAGGACAAGCGAAGTAAAAAGCGTATGCAGGCATGACAGCTCACCCAGCCGTCGGCTGTTCGATTTTTGGTTAAATTTTGGGGATCCAGTGACTTTAGGTTTTAGTCAAACGGAGAGGTCCCAAATCTGCGACAGAAATAGACCATTTGCAGTACTACCCAAGCATCAAGGAGAATGCAGGGATTGGTGTTCCACGCGCCACACGCACACGCATTCCCCGTATAAAATATTCAAAGTTAATAACCAAAATAATGTCTTGACGAACGCGCGTGCAAGATCCAATTTGTTTTAGGTTTTTGCTTTAGAAAACTTACTACTGCTGAGGACAGACGGTGCGCCGCGTGGAACACCAATCCCTGCAATCTCCTTGATGCTTGGGTAATATAGCAATAGGACTATTATTTCGAGAAAGTTCTTATTAGTAACGAATGAAAGGTGACACGTCGAGGGACTTGCAACAACGACAAGATTGTTTACAATAAAAAAATAAAATGGCGTAGCTTGATTTTTGAGTTAATTTCTCATTTACAGTTTTAAATTGCATCGTTCAGTAATGATCTTTTTGAGCACCGGACTCACGCAGAATGGTTCTAGCGACCATGCGTAAAACAAAGTAGAGATGAGCAACTTACATGGTCTTTTGAAATAACAGTTTTAAATACCACATATAACGCTTATAGGTAGCAAGAACAAAACGGTTGCGGGCGAAAAGTGTCATCTAAGGTCATTATTCTCACTGGTTTATTCGTCTATTCTTTTTCTTATCCCGTATGGTGATGCAACAGCTTGACTACTATTCGTCTCAGCTTAAAGGGGCTGTGCAACGATATTGGGTGGGGACGTTTCACACATCAGCTTACTGGAGCTAATGGCACCCAAGAATACTCGAACGCAACGCCACTGACCAAGAAGCGTCTTCGTCGCGGTGAAATTCCAAGGATAAAAGTGAACTCTTCCTATAACTCTTTCCTTCGCAAAACTTGGTGACAGAGCAGTAGGGACTACACCAACAATGAGATCCCCAGGAGTGCGTGATCAAGCTTTGCATTCCTCGTTGTGGGATATTTAAATGCTGCTCACATAGTAGACACGAAGACTGCCTAGGCATTCGATTTTGGCTCGTGACCCAATCGCTGGGATGACGGAACTATAGTCGAACCACCACACTGCGTGGAACTCAGCGCGCACCGCCCTGTGCTCTGCTAACCCCAACGCGTGGCTATGATAAAAAATTACACCATCTTCCCGAGGGGAACCGTGGGGCGTGCGGAGCATCGCGGATCGTTATTAATGGTGTTATTAACGGTGTTAGTAACGTTGTTAGTAACGTTGTTAACTTGCGTGTTATTACGTTGTTAACTTGCGTTGGTTACCACACATCGCGTGAACGTTGTTGGAAACTCCGCGATGCTCCCATCACCCCATGGTTCCCCTCGGGAAGATGGTGTAATTTTTTTAATTGCGTAACGAAGGTGAAACGGTTAACGAAGGTCTTTATTAAGCAGCGTCTAGTACTTGAGGTGTGCACTTTGCTTTGATGAGGATGGCTTTGTGGTCGCTGAAGTGGACCGTGAGGGGATCTTGGCGCAGTGGGTGGATCTTGAAATTGGTGAAGACGTGATCAATGCATGTGCCGTGAATGGTAGTTGGCTGTTATTTGCGGTCGTCGTATGATACGTGTTGCAGCGAGTGGTGTGATGACATGTACTCAACTATCCAATGGCTCTTCACGACGTTGATATTAAAGTCGCCAATGTGCGTGAAAGGACGGAGTGATGTGGAGTCAACAGCAGTGAACTGAACGCGCGCAGCCGCGCTACCACTGCTTATACACCAACTCATGTTTACAAACAAACCGGAGCGCCCCTAGCGGACGCCACTGGCGCCGCGCATGCGCGATGGGGTTGTGGGCAAGAAGCTCGCCGTCGCCCATAAACAAAGCATTGAAATGCGATGTTGTCGGCGTCGCTGTCAGTCCCCCTGCCCTTTTTCGCGTTCGAATTGTTGATTCTACGTCTTCCTGGGCGATGTCTGACTGTCTCGAGCGGCGTCAGCGAAATTACCGAGGCTCGTTACACCGCAAAACTTCGCGTGAATAATGTGACATATGTGGCGATTCATTCTGCGTGGACGCCGCAGTATTAACGCTAATGCTTGATTCGCTTGATGAGATTTTGCTCGCAATTTTCAGTCGCGACACCGCTCGGGCTGCAAAAGCGTGAACCGTAGCTGAGATGGTCCACGTCGATACTGAAAATCGCTAGCAGAATCGGACCAAGTGAATTAGGCATAACAAGTCGGTGATGGTCACTGGTAACAATGATCAACATCTTCATGTATCTACTGTTTACGTCGAGCCTGCTTACCAACCTTCAAATTTAAGTCTTCTGAGGCCTGCACTTACTTCTTATCGCAAGCACCGGGACAACATTTGGTCTACGGGTCAACGTCGTCTAAGAGAGCAGACGACAAGCAGAAACGTTTGAAAGAGCAGACGACAGTTCGAATGATCAGAAGGCCGTTTGAACTTGAAGACCCACTGAAGGTAATCCGCAGGTGGTCCGCACAACTTGACGGTTTTCTCGCGTTCATGTTGGAACAAAACAAATAAATCTGATGACCACAAGTATCCGTGAATTCAACCCAAAGTGCTTCCCACCCAAGCAATCGTTGTCCGACGGCGTCTGATTTTCCCCTTTTCACGGCACATTCCCAGATCCTCGCAAGAACCAAGCACGTGAAAACTGACCTTCAAACTTTTCTCGACACTTTCGGCACCGCCCCAGTCGCGGCGTTTTGACGAGAAGGCAGGTTTTTGTCTGGTTCCTTTCAAAACAACGCAGGAATACACGTCTGGCATGGGACTTCTGCCCACAGTTCCAGACCGGAAGTGCAACCGACGCGCCACCACGGCGCCGTGACGTAACAGAGATGAGTTCGTGTATATTCACACTTGAAGGAGAGGAAACTAGAGGAGGAGAGTTGCGCATGCGCGCGCGGTGTGAGTAGAAGCGAACGCACGCGAAGTGCACGCAGCTGGTAGAGAGAGAGAGAGAGCGGAGAGAGTAACGCGCAGCTGTTGGAGAGAGGGAAGGAGGAGAGTTGCGCATGCGTAGTGTGAGTGCGGACTACGACGCCGACGCCGCGGGACATAGACCCGAGCAAGAGATGCTCCGCATCTAAAAAAAAAAAAATAATAACAACATTGGCGGCATATAATTGACTCCAGATCACGTGGCCGCCTTTTCTGACTGCGAGTTGAGGAGTAAACGGAGTTCGTTTTTCTCGGGTTTTTTTCTGTGACTGCCACTGCGTAGAGGAATAAAGCAACGTCTGTTTCATAGGTGATAAATGTCAATGAATAGTTCTAAGTCGTATTGATTGACAGAAGAAAAAAAGCAGCGTCAAAAGCGCAGGTCACTGCGCCTTTTCTTTTTATGATTGATTCAGCGATGATAGAAACATGACGAACACCATG